AAAACATTGAGTATAACAGGTGGAATTTCATGTTTGGGTTGCACATGACATCGGTGAGACCACCTTTAGAATATCGCAAACAATTCTGGTCATCCTTCTGTTGGAAAGATGCTGTTAAATTTGAGGGTACAGAAAAGATTTATAAGGACGTTGCCAGGACTGTAGGGTTTGAGTTTTAGGGAGAGGCTGAATAGGCTGGACGTTTTTTACCCTAGAGCATCAGAGGCTGAGGGGTGACCTTATAGAATCATGAGGGACATGGGTAAGGTGAATAGCAAGGGCGGGGGAGCCCAATACTAGAGGGCATAGGTTTAAGTTGAGAGGGGAAAGATTTAAAAAGGGACCAGAGAGGTAACTTTTTTTTGAAACACAAAGGTTAATGCATGTGAGGAACGAGCTGCCAGAGGAAGTGGTGGAGGCAGGTACAATTACAACAGTTAAAAAGCATCTGGATGGGTACATGAATAGGAAGTGTTTCGAGGGATATGGGCCAAATACTGGCATATAGGACTATGTCAAATTGGGATGTCTGGTCAGCAAAGACAAGTTGGACCAAAGTGTCCGTTTCCATGTTGTATGACTCTATAACTGAAGAAAATTGGTTCATTATTCTAACACTTAATTGGGAAGAATTTCTGCTCAGACATCATGTAAACAACCTGATAATTTTGCACAACTGGAGGAGGCAGGAGAGGAGGTAGTGAGGTAATATTGGATGTTCTCAGCACATGTATGAAAACTAACAGAACGCCTTCAGATGACATTGCTAAAGGGCAGCATGTAAATGTGAAATACAAGAAAGGAAAAGGACAAATCTGTCAACATAGTCCAATTGTTAGTGACAAATTCCATAGGTTCCTCACACATATTATGGTGGTGAAGTTAAAATACACATAGGAGATGAGTTAAGGGACCTTACAGTAGAGAAAATAAGTCAGAGTCATTTTTGCATTCTTGGATCATCCTGGAATAGGAGAACTAGCAGACTTCAGCAGCACCTGACAATGCTTTATGTGGTTGAGGTAGGTATGGCAGTAAATGATGCATCGAAAAGGTATTTTCCAAAATCATTTTTGGAAGTTAGATTTTAAAGTAGACGTAGAGGGATGTTGGTCTGTTCTGTTAAGCATTTTTTTTTTAGAAATGGTAAGACAGGCATTCTGAAATAGTGACCTTAATACATAAATAAGAAGGCATACAACTTCAACCAACTGCCTAGCTGATCCCAGTGGTGTTACTGAATAAGATGAGTAAACATATTGGGCAATTATTTTGTCAGGTTTTTCAGTTCAGTTCAGAACCGCCTAGGGTTCAGTTTTGCAGAGAACAGTTTGTTTCTATGAGGAACAGTACAGGAGAACCAGATGCCTCAGCAGGAGTGTTTTGTTGTTTCTTGAGTGTGCAAGCTGGGCCAGCTTGAATAGAATTCTTTAACATTAGAATTGAGAAAGCTTAGGTCCTGGGAATTGTGAAAAGTTATTCCCACATCCGTGGGAAAGCAGCAGGAATCAGTTAAGTGGAAACCTAAAGAGATAAGGTCGGAGTTATAATTCTCTGGGAATGAATCGCTGAAATGGATGCTGTTGTGAAACAGGTTGAAACATTGTTTTGATGTTGATGTCAAAATCTTTCCACCTGTGTTATATATCTAGCTTTGATGCTTTCTTCTTCTATGTAATAAACCTATGTAATAAACCTATGTAATAACGAACATCTGAAGCCTCACGTGAATGTTTCAATCACTAGCCATCACATTAATTGTAACAATTAAATATATGATCCATTAAGCCAGGCTTTATTCTGGGATCTGAAATGTTCAGAATTACCACTTGCAGGGATCATAATGACTAAAACAGGCTTCCACTATATCTGTTCAAATCTCAAGAGAGCAAGGATGAGAGGGGAGTTGGCTGCCTGGAGGCAGTAAGGGTTCCTGTGGAGACTAGGGCATCAGAGGTAGAGGTACGGGTGTGTGTGGCTCAGCTAATCAGTAGCTGTAGAAATTTTGCAGTAAACAGAGTGTCAAAGGTTAGACATTTGGGATTTTGAAAGTATAGTTGCGATACGGACAACTGCATATGACAATATGATTAATTCATTAAAGCTTATAATGTGTGATATGCATTCCATCCTTCATCGTCTAAATCTTCAACATCCTTCCACCCATCACATCTATTTCAATCAAGCTAGCCTGCTATTCCTTACTTCTTCCCACATTTATCTACTTCATATGTACCTATGATAGTTGCCTCACCCACTCCTGTGGAAGTGAGTTTATATTCTAACCACTTTATAGATGAATTAGTGTTGCTTGAAACTCCAATTGGATTAATTAGTGGCCGTCTTACATTTATGGCTTACAAACATACAAATTAGGAGCAGACATAGGCCATTCAACCCCTCAAGCCTACTCTACCATTTATAAAATAATAGCTTCAACTCCATATTTGGACCTACTAAGACAACATTCAACTCCCATATATCTTATGGCTACCTCCATCATGCTCTAGAGTTCTAAAGAATCACCATCCTTAAGGGAAAAAAATCTCATTTCCATCTTAAATGGGTGATCGCTTATTTGTAAACTGTGTTCCCTACTTCAAGTTCCTCTCATTACAGGAAACATCCTTTCAGCATCCACCCTGTCAATTCCCTTCAGGATCTCCTATGGCTCAATAAGATTAACTCAGTCAAAATACTGCAAATGCTGAAAATCTGAAATTAAAACACAAATATTCAGCAGATCTGGAAGAATTTCTGCAGACAGAAACAATGTTAATGTTTCAAGTAATGAATTTTCAATGTGAAAAGTGAGAAATTGAGCAGGAGAGCATTTGAACAGCCACTAGAAGTAACAAATGCATGAATGAGTTTCAACAACACATAAGCTGAGGCAGCGACTCAGACAGGTGATATTGCAGTGTTGGACACAGGTAGTCTTGGTGATGGAGAGAATATGGCGTGAAGAAGGCCTGTACAGAGTGAAATAGTATGTGAAGATTGTGAGGTTTTTTTTAATGCATCCACGGGATGAAGGTGTCACTGACCAAGCAGCATTTATTGGATTGCCCAGAGGGCGGTTTAGAGTCAACCACATTGCTGTGGGTCTAGAATCACATGTAGGCCAGACCAGGTAAGGATGGCAGTTTCCTTCCCTAAAGGGCATTAGTGAACCAGATGGGTTTTTCTGACAATCAACAATGGGTTCATGGTCATCATTAGATTCTTAATTCCAGATATTTTTTAATTGAATTCAAATTCCACCATCTGCCATGGTGGGATTAGAACCTGAGTCCCCAGAACATTATCTGGGTCTCAGTCCAGCGATAATACCACTAGGTCATTGCTTCCCCGTAGTTTGATTAAACCTCAGACAGGGAGAGAGACAGAGAAGGATCAAAGTTTGCAGTGTGTTAAATTGTCTCACAATCAGTATACCTTCAGGAGACAAGCTCATGGTATCATCTTTGTAACATGACCCAAGGGGATAATGATCTCAGACTCCATCTTAATTAGGATCCCATGAAGCATGATATGCGACTGAAAGCATGTTCTTCTGCTGTAAATCAATGGCCTAAAACTAGCCTAGACACTTGTGTGTCTCGTCTCTTATGTTATAAGGGATAACATAAACATTATTGTATCAGGCAAAACATCCTGCTGAAGGGAAAGCCTACATCAGAAGGGTCTAAAAAGAACAGCTACATTTTTCCAATATTTAGTTTGTGGAAGTTTCTGCTCATTCAATACTGAATGTTGGACAAGCAGCATGACAGATAATGGAGGGGTCAAGCAAGGTGGGATGAGATGGATCTGTTTGTTGTCAGCATGTATGTGGAGTATGGCACTATAGTTTAGATCACACCTTTGGCATGCAATGAGGAGGAGGGACACTGGATAGAGAAGGGGCATATGATAAATTCTTGTTGCCAGGTACTTATCTAAGATAGTGGCTTTTTTGAACACTGGTAAAAATTATCTCCACGGTTTCCTAAACAGGGCTGCTGTTCCAAATTCAGTTTTTTAGTCATTATAAATACGGCATCGGTTTTTTTGGAATATTATGCATATAAGCTTCCACATTCAGAATAAACATGACAACATGATACAAAATATCTGGATATCATATTGCCCATGCATGAAGTTACTTTCACTCTTAACTATACAACTTTAATATGCCTGTAAAACTTACAAGTAGAAATAACAAAAACTAAACATTTTAGTATGTGAGGGAGATACAGTAATTCAAGCTCACACTATATCTTTCAAATGATCTAGGTATATAAAAATGAAGACACTTTCAAAACAGATCATTACAGCAAACACAAACCTGCCTACTTACTGTTTTTTCTCAGTATTAATATTAAATTATAACTCTACCAAGTGATCATAATGATTAAACAGCCACAAATGAAAATGCATTAGTTGAGCCAGTTTTTGTGACTAGGTGAGGTGGAACATCAATCTCAGTAACAAAAACTGAATTATTTGGATGAACAAGGCATGATTAAGAACAAATTTTATTCCATTATGGCTACCTTGGATGAATGCTATACATATCCATGCACATATGTTTTTGAAAGCATTTTGTATAAAACAGCAACTAGAAATAATAAATGTACTTTTATACATTAACATCATAAACATGGTCGACATTGAATTATTTCAACCCATTTTGTCACAAGTTTCTTTTAAAATGCTGCAGTACCCATTGAGATTAAGCACGCTGTGTTCTAACAACGGGAAGACAAAGGTAAATATAATTTGAAGTAAATTAAGCACTGCAAGGAATCCCTCTAGATATAATGTTCAATTATTGTAAAACAAGAAGTCCATCAAATCAAACACTCGTGAACTACGAGTAACTGCAAAATGTTATTTTGTTCAAATAACCGTTTTTTGGGGGAAGCAGCAAAATAGGACAAGAAGAGATGAATGTTTTAGATGAAATTTGAACATCCATAAGGCTGAAATCTAGATTATAATGAGGAGCCACACAATAATGTTAAAACAATGCAAATTTATTGATTTGTTTTCAGACTGAGATTTGATGAATTACATGTAGCATATAAATCAATAGGATTGTTTCTTCAAGGCATCTCCAACCGGTTTTAACTTGTGCTGCTCCATTTCTTCACAAATTAAAACTGATTTGCAAGACACAAAAAGAAAAGACACTGAATCAAATCACCTAAAAAGAAATTTAACTCAAGTGGTAGCTTATCCCAAGTTAGGATTTTCAAGATGTTCAGCACAATCTAGGTTGACTCCATCAACACCACAGAGATAGTGTACTACACTTTCAGTCATATGATCTTATGTCACACGCTCAGGGAATTGGAAAACATCCCACATTATCAAGAACGAGATTGTTGACTTCTACATCAATGTTCAGTCTTCAACCAAATGCATTAAAAAAACTGAGCATCTGCAGTTCCTACTATCTCTGCATAAAAAAACTAATTTCTCTCTCTCATTTGTTTACAAGATTTTTGTGCGCACAGGTATGCTTTGTATTTGCTTACATATTAAATGTCTGTAGTTCAAAGCTAATGGCTATGTTTTTGTATGTTCTTAGAATGAAAGGCACTATTTAAATACAAGTTCAAACTCTCCTCTCTGAATCACTTGATCAATTATCAGTGTGGACTTCAATATGTTACATGCTCCCAACAATTTTACGGGAAATCAGCTGAACCCCAAGTGCAGACTAGTGCTGATTAGAACAGCCTATTTAGATCTTTGGTCCATATTTTTTTTCTTTATTCTTAATGGGATGAGGGCGTCGCTGACCAGGCAGCATTTATTGCCCCTCCCTAATTGCCCAGAGGGCAGTTAAGAGTCAACCACATTGCTGTGGGTCTGGAGTCACATGTAGGCCAGACCAGGTGAACATGGCAGTTTCCTTCCCTAAAGGACATTAGTGAACCAGATGGGTTTTTCCGACAATCCATTCATGGTCATCATTAGATTCTTAATTCCAGATATTTTATTGAATTCAAATTCCACCATCTGCCAAGGCAGGATTGAACACAGGTCCCCAGAATGTTATATAGGTCTCTGGATTAACAGTTCAGCGATAATACCACTAGGCCATCGCCTACCCTATATGTTATGAAAGCTAAGAAAAATAAAATAGAAAGGAAAGAAAAGAAGTTCTCTGGAGTATAAGGTATTTCTGGAGTAGATGTGACCATTTACATTTTTTGAGAATTCTTAGTTCTTAATTCATGTTTCTGAACACTACATGCAATTTTAGGAATAAAAGTCTTAACTGTAGATAAATAGGGACATCTGATTAAGAAACCGCTAATCAAACTTTGATACAAATTCAACTCAAAGAGTGTCTGAGTTTATTGAATAAAATCAGAATTGTTACTGGGAACACTTGAACAATCGATGACCTATCAATAGGCTTGTGGTGGATCCAGAGGGTCTGCACATTACTCGGGAAGAGATTTAAATTATGTACGCAGTTCCAAGGTAAAAAAATATTCAGGGCAGTTGGACAATAGGGAGTTCTTTGATAGGGGCAGAACATAGAGAGTTATATGAGTTATACAATCAGAGTTGTGTTCATGGTTAAACAGTTAAATTACTTTTCATTTTGAGGACATCCCAAAGTAAGCCACATTACGGAGGTGGACTGTGGTGTTGAATACTATTCTGCTCAAGGTTTCCAAGAGTTACCTCTGAAAGAAGGTAGTTGCAGTTTTGTTTAGGCAGCCCACTAGATTGAAAGAAGCAACTATAGATGATTGTTAGACAGGCTGCACTTTAAGCAGAAACACGTCTAACATTATCATTCAAAACACAATGCAACATACTACTTAAACTCCGTTTGAATATTTGAGGGAAAAAGGTCAGGAAGATTTGCCAAGCCTGCAACTACAGGAAGAAATCTATAATGAGCCTCAGAGAACCTCATGCCAAAAAGCAATCAGCAGTTAGCTTGGAGCATGAGAGAAGGCAGGGTTTTTTTTTCATTTTTCATGGGATGCAGATTAGCACAAGCTAGGCCAGCCTTTGTTGTCCATCCCTAATTGTCCATCCTGGAAGTAAGTGGCTGCCATGGTTGAATGTGAACTCATGCCTACTGAACATTAACCTGGGTCTCTAGATTGCTAGTCTAGTGGCAGTTTTGCTACACCACAATCTCCCGCGTTGAATATCTGCCTTCAGCAAAAGGCCCAGGCATCCACAGTCATGAGGAAAACTCATGGTAAAAAGGCAAAGTAAAGATTCTTGTAAAATTCATTACTTGGAGAGGAGAAAACAAAGTGAGATGGTGGGGATGTGGGGCGTGGGGCGTGGGGCGTGGAACAATCTTCAAGATTCTTGTGACGTAAAAAAGGAAAAGGAGATTTTTATGGGAGGTAGGGGAAAAAGACAGTAAAATAGAGCAGTACTGAGTTAATAACATAACTAGTTATAAGATGTAGTGTTACGTTAATGGAGTTTGTTATGCTCAATATTTTTTACATAAAATAAAACTGTAAATAAGTAAAAAACTTAAATCTAAAAGCCAAATTAACACTAAGCGAAAGCAGGCTGTATTATCAGGGAGATGGGTGGACCTAAAGAAGGTTCCTTACTTTCAATTGACCTGTGTTTTTTTTAATTGGGAGAAGTTAGTTGTAGTTTGGAGTTGGGAACAGTGATAAAAAAAAATGGAAGTGGTTCGAGACAATATAAGTGCAACTATTAGCAAGGTCTAGGCAGTTAGGACTCGAGAGGTTTCAAAGAATGGTGGCTCAGTGCTATGGAAAAACGGTTAGGGCTTAAGAGGAGCTCTGGGAGCCATCAGTAGTTCAGTGCAGGTAAGAATGGGGTGAAGTAAGCTCACAATCAGTATTTGTTTGATACAGCTTAGAAAGGTTGGAGATTAGACAAATTTAGTGGCAGCTCAGTGAAGCCAACTTTTTCATAAAAGCTGAAATTATGACAGTAATTAGTCTTAAGAGAAACTTTGTCTTGGTAGAAAAGGGTGAACTACCAAGATGTGAGCAGTCAGCTAGGTCTTTGAAAGTGAAGAATTGCAATGTCTTGTAAAGAAGACTGCGTCTTCCTGAGATTTGGCGACCTACAGTGTCACTAACATCCTGGTACGATTCATCTTGACATTTTGTGGCGTGTTGACCACCAAGTGCCTGTTAACTCATAGCTACTTCTTACTTATCCTGCATGTTACAATCTAAGTTGAATATCCAGTGTATAGTATTATCTTACCTGTTCAGTATACAAAGTAGTCGCTGTGGCTAATGTTGTTTTGTTGAAGTTTGTGTTACAACTTTTTCTGTGGTTCTTCCATGTATTCTATTCTTTAATAGATCTGGTGATCTGTCTTGGCCAGTATTCCCATTGCATTGAGATAGAGGATCAGTGATTATCATATTGTACGGTGGAGAAGGCTCAAAGGGCCTAATAACCTACTCCTGCTATCAATTTCTACATTTCTATCACAGGAATCATAATTTGCTAGTCTTGTCTGGGATTGTAACAATACAGATGTGAAAACATATGGCATAATTCTATCAATTAATCATGAAGTGCTTGAATTTCTCTTTAAAGATTAACGCTCTAACAGGATAGTAACACATTAAGCACAATGACAATATGTCACCAGATGATTTCAATATGAAACCCTTGGATGGTATGTGTGGATGAGAATCAGCATTTGTGAAGTATTTCTATCTAAAGTTTCAAATTAAGCTCAAATCTTGAAGTAATAATTACAGATTGTTAAATATAGGGCACAATGCATGGAAATGCTGCAGCTTTAAAATAGTTTGGGAAATGGTAGTTTAAGTAACTTTATTTGTACATTGATTAATCAAAGTTTCTGATTATTCTGCTCATGCAAAATGTTCACAAGCGTGCGAATAATGCAGATTTATAAATAAATTGACCTAGCAATTTATTCCAATAATTATTTGTAGTACAGAACATGAGTATTGCTGAAAAAAAAAACTCATCGTGTCAAAGCTTTTCATTTTGCACTCATTAGGACAACTCACAAGAAATACTGAAGAAAAAAAAATTTATACTGTACGAGGGAGAGTTCTGATTGGTTGACAAGCAGACTCTGATTGGTAGTGATGTTGCCATAGAGCATGTATCACTTAATGATGATTGGAAATTAATTGTCAAGCTCTGTTTAAATTTTAAACAAAGCAGAATCACTTTGATTGGTTCAGACATTGTCCAGAGAAATGAACCCAAGAACGGGTTGTCGCCTATTTTGTTGCGTTGTAACAGGCACAGTTGGATAAGAGTTCTTTCTGTCTGCAAAAGACAGAGCTTGCTACAAATTAGTGTCCACTGAAGATGATGAATCCTTGAAAGCTGATTTAGCTCACACATTTGCAGGATTCTGAATTATTTATTTGATTTTCACATACAACAATGTCCAGCAGCTTTTCAAAGCCTCAATGCCAACTAGACATATAATATTTAGTGAACATAACAAAGGGACTGCAATAGTCAAACTTAACAAGTGAGGCTATGTCAGAAAAAGGCATGCCACTCTTAATGATTTTCATATTCCTTGGGCCTGTTGCTCAGCATAACTCGACAGCATTACTCAAAAAGCAAGCTGCCGATTGACATATATGATCAGATTTGTTCTTGCAACTTATGGCGTCCATGTATATATGGGTTGGCCAAGGCACACAAAAGCAAAGCCCCTTTTCGCCCTATCTTATCTATGGTTGTTTCTGCACAATATGAACCAGCAAAATGGCTGAGTGAATTGCTGCAATCATTTTTGAGAACATTTTCCATGTGCACAGTGAAGGATTCCTTAGCATTTGTGAAGACCAGACAGGATTTGCATGTCAACAACATTGCAATGCCCATGTGGTTTGTCTAATATTGATAGCCTATTCACCAATGCACCTCTCAAAGAAGCCATTGACATTTGCACTACAGCACCATAATCATAGCAATCTATTCCACTCACTATTGTGTGAACCAGCATTCACCGAACTCACAAACTCAACAATTTATGCAGTTGAGTCCAGTCTTGATGATTCCATATATGCCCAAATAGATGGTGTTGCCATGGGAACCCCACTAGGCCAAGCAGTTGCAAACATTTTTTATTGGATTCCATGAGAAATGTGCCTTTGATGCAATGACATCTAGC